CGAGAATAGATGAATTCGGGATTCACAACTGTCACATCGAAGGCTCCGATCGAGGTGCCCATACGCCGGAGTCTTAGACATCGCAGGGGTAGGCCAGTCGACTGTCTCCTCTTTGATAGATCGAGTCAGATGGCCTGAAGCCGTTAAGCTCCAGATGTCGGGTCTGGTTGCGCAGTATGAACATGACGGTGTTTAATCAGGCCTTTCTGAGATCGAAATCTGCGCTTAAAATACTGGCAGGTGTAAACGAGTCGCTTGTCTTTCGGCCGCATCTGCAGCACTGTTTATCAACTGAATCTCATCTGATTTTCTACTTCCCATAGGGCTCTGTCTCGTTAACTCATTCCATATTCCGTCCACTGGGAGTATTCGCATTCCAAAAAAGGCTCATTCAGACTTCCTGGAAGGCATGTGCCTGCAGCCCGCCTGCATGGTGCTTGCACGCTCTTGACATCGACTAAGCGCTGATTGCGACAAAATTGCGTCCCCCGGAAGCTGACTGGTCGGTGCCTGCGAGAAGTCACCCAGCTACTCTAGTCCTCTCTTGGAATTGATTGGACGGAATTCCAGCCAATCGGAAGGCAGTGGCTGATCACGCTCTGTTCCTCTTGCGTGTTGGTGGTTCGGTACAGCAGTCGAGCGCGCACACGGCTCATGCTAGTGCAGGTTATCAAGACAGGTCATAACACCGTCAACTACTGATAGCCACCAACCATTCTGTCTCCCTGCACTGCAACGTTTGCAGTTCCCAGCCGACCTCTTAGGATTATGCAGTGTAGTTTCCTCCAGCTTAATTAAACAAGATGTCTTCCACAAGCTGCCCATCAATCCTCCCGCGATGCTTTTCTTGCAAGACAGGAAAACATGCGCCAAATGTATTTATTTGAAGTCGATTTTGAGAATTCAAGCGTGTTATGGAAAGCTTAATGGAGATTCTGCAACGAAACCGAGATGTTTATCCTGGCCGGCAGGCATTATCTGACTGAGGGGTGCGATAGTAGCATTTTAACGCTCCGTTTCACACTATAAAAACTCCACTTCGGGGAAATCTCATAGCGTTCTTCTCATCCGAATTCACCCAACTGTACGGGGTCCCTTCTTGTGGCAATTTCTACCCACTATTCAGGGTCGATAAATGGAAGACTTATAACTGGTGTCCCGCTAATTATCCCACGGGACGGATCTATAGGCCTGCTTCAATAAGTATTTGCCTTTCTAACCTACTTGTAGGCTTTCCCGCCCAATTGGAATTCTCACGTTCAGCCATATTTTTGTGGTTAAGTAATGATTTTGCGGATATGTCGGGTGGGATGTGGGGAGAAGTGATATGCACGAGAAAGCTGGTTCTTATTTACTGAACTCGATATTAGAATAGAATGATACTCCAGATGCTTTTACAGACTGCCTGATGAGAATGCGGCGGTGGAAAGGACCGGCCATAGATCTCTACTACATGCCGGCGGTTTCGCCAGTAGGTGTTCCCATGGGACCGCAGCGGCTGGTCACGGTTGAGAGGACAGAGATGGATGATGAGGGATGTGAGGACGAAACTTGGGACAGTAAAAAGGGCGTCAGGTTAGACTCTCCGACATTCCCAAAGTAGGGGTTTCCGAAAATCATCAGCACAGTCCCCGTAGACCCTGAGTCCCCGAATAAACACTACTTCTGGGACCCACGGTTCAAAGGCAAGTTGCAGACGACCCATACGCGCTACATTTCTGTGTGAACTTCAACTTTAACACTAGGAAAGGCAAAGTCTAAAGTTTCAATCATGAATTGAACCCTCATTTTGGATCTGGAACAGACAAACAGCGTTCTCCTAATTTGTCCTCTGTAAGAGAGGTTTTGTCATTGCCACCGAGATGCCTCGCCTGGCGCTAACTTCGAGAATGGATTGCCACGGTCATCTGTAACATACATAATAACGCAATCCTTAAACAAAAGACACAAAGACGACATTGAGGGGGTAGAAGTTACTGAGCACAATTGACTGGTAACAGCTACCTTCAGGAGGCAGCGGCCATACAGGGCCACAGAGGACGTGGGGGTCATGTCGCCGATCTACCAGCTAACAAAGGTCGTAAGTCCTACACGGGGTAACCCACCATCGGCAATGTGGGCTTGCAGGTCCTGACGGGTATGGACGGGAGAGCTGGCAGGTAAAACGGTGTGCAACCTAAATGGTAGCATATGAGGGCAAGGGAGGCACAGACCTTCGAGTTAGCGGTCCCTCATGTCCCTCAGAACATTGCGATAGTATATCCAGCCGGGCAAGCAAACTGCTTAACACTTATCAAGGAACAATCGACCAAACTGTATTGAGTCCCTTCAGTCATGAACAATGTGGGACATGTGAGAACCAAGTAATCATTACCTGCACAAGTCAGTGTACTTACACCGGGAATGCGCTCTCGATCAAAAGTAGACAAGTTTACTACCATGTGCAAGTAAAATGACTTCAACCGTGCTGGTTTTATTTATCCAATCTCCATCCCCAAAACAGAACATCTTGGCGTTTCTAGCTGGTTTATGATGAAATTACGTAGAGGAAAGAATACACTCCCCATTTGCCATGGTTCAGACTGCTCTAATCTCGAAGTCAGAGAGGTTAGGGGTGCTGACATGGTAATTACTGGTCTTACTTTCACACAGCAGTAAGCCGTAACCCATATCCCGGTTGACTGTACTTAGAAATGGGATGCAGGAGCATGATTCGAATCCAAACTGAAATCGGTGCAGCCTCCACGGATAACTACTCCTTCTCAATGGGACCTTTATGGCACCTCATATATAGGTGCGATTCGAAATCCCCAAATGTAACTTGGTGCACGTAGGTTAGAGAGAAAAGTGTGTGTAGCATGCTTAGGCCGGCCAGTTGGATTTATCAGTAACTACTGCCACACGCACCTCCAGTCACTTTGACTCTGCCTCGCCACCAGAGCATAGCTGGTGTGGGTGGAGAGGGTGAGATAGATGCATTGAAAGTCACCCCCACTGGATCTACCGCAAAAAGCCGCAGCGAACGTCATTGTCCACGACAGTCAAAAAGTTAGCCGCTTCTTGCTATAAGACGACCTGTGAGAGACCCGAATTAATATGCTTCGTCCTACAATCAGGTACAGCCCGCGATAGCATTAGGAGTATTTCGATGACGATCGACGGGGACTGAGCTGGTGACTCCGCAAACTTTGGACGCGCGATAAAACCCAAAAACCTCCTGATCTCTGAGCTAGGCATGCTAACTACTGGAGACTAATCGGGCTGAAAAAGATCGTTTCAGGAGCTCTACCTTTCTGACAGCTGATGGCTCGTGGTTATGTGTACGCATGAGAGGCTTCTAGACTGAAAATTGATCGGATATATTTCTACCTGTGACTCCATTAACACAATGAATGCTTCCGACAGTAGTGTGGAGAAGGTGGGTCCGTGACAAATGAATACTGGGCCGAACATAAAATCCTTCTATCCAGTCTCACATTATAGGGCTTATAGTTACTCTACGGCTGACTAGTGACCACGCATAAACTGAAAACCATTATTTCGCTCTGGTTAGCTGCCTACTACTTACATCATGATCGTACACTCGAGCAAGCGCGAAATCAGACAGTCGGAGCGCATAGAAACTCAAAAGTACCAGACATTTGCAACTTGTTAGTGTACTCAGAAGTGCTCTGACTTCCTTTTTACTTTTTATGTGAGGACTCCTTAGTCAAAGAGGCTGGTTTGTCTTTCCAACAGGACAGTCCTTTTTTTCAGAACTTTTCCGTAACTGGGCGGGTTGCTGGGCCCCCTTGGAAAGGGCCTCCACAATTTAATCGATCCAGCAGCATGGCTGATGCGCACCCACGTGGCGGCGATCAATATGTCCACGATGCAAATGGTGTTGAATTAAACCCATATATAAGGCGTTGCTGGGGCAGCATCCTCAGTGGAGTCGACAGCCTCTCAGAATGGTACGTTTCATAACCGCTGAGCACTGCTGCTTCCAAGGAACTCCTATTTAATCGGCTTTTAACTTACTTTGCCTTTTAATTTCAGCGTGAATGCCTGAGCGTGCACGTCGGCCAGGGTGGTGTCCAAATTGCCAACGCCTGCTGGGAACTCTACTGTCTGGAACATGGCATCCAGCCCGATGGACAGATGCCAAGTGATAAAACCGTTGGTGGAGGTGATGACTCATTCCAGACCTTCTTCAGCGAGACAGGCGCCGGCAAGTATGTACCGAGGGTCTGCTTTGTGGACCTGGAGCCTACCGTTATAGGTACGTTCTGGGCAAGACTTGACAAGCCTGAGGGCGACCCTCCAAGCAGACTGCTTAATTCACTCTTTTTCCTCCTCTTCCTCCTAGATGAAGTACGTACGGGAACCTATCGGCAGCTCTTCCACCCTGAGCAGCTTATCAGTGGCAAGGAAGATGCAGCCAACAACTATGCCCGAGGACATTACACTGTGGGGAAGGAGGTCGTCGATCTGGTGCTTGATCGCATTCGTAAGCTGGCTGATCAGTGCACCGGCTTGCAGGGCTTCTTCGTGTTTCACTCTTTTGGAGGTGGTACTGGGTCAGGATTCACCTCCCTCCTCATGGAACGTTTAAGCATTGACTACGGAAAGAAATCCAAGATTGAGTTTTGTGTCTACCCGGCACCCCAGATCTCTACAGCTGTCGTGGAACCGTACAACTCGATCCTCTGTGCACACACTACCCTGGAGCACTCAGATTGCTGTTTCCTGACGGACAACGAAGCAGTCTATGATATTTGTCGGTGAGTTTTGCGCCTTTTTTGAAACATATATTTCCCTGGGTGAAATTGCCGGAGTTGACTAAGATCAGTACTTTTTTCACAGGCGTAATCTGGACATTGAGAGGCCGACTTACACGAATCTGAATCGTTTGACTGCTCAAGTGGTCAGTTCCATCACTGCTTCTCTTCGCTTCGACGGAGCCCTCAATGTGGATCTCACTGAATTCCAGACCAACTTGGTACCGTACCCGAGGATACACTTCCCCCTGGTCACCTATGCACCAACCATATCTGCTGAGAAGGCCTATCACGAGACACTGAGTGTGGGTGACCTAACAAACGCCTGCTTCGAGCCCGCTAATCAGATGGTTAAATGTGACCCTCGCCATGGCAGGTACATGTCCTGCTGCCTGCTCTACCGGGGAGATGTAGCCCCGAAGGATGTGAATGCTTCTGTCGCCACCATCAAAACCAAGAGGACGATCCAGTTTGTGGACTGGTGTCCAACCGGATTCAAGATCGGCATCAACTACCAACCACCAACTGTCGTCCCCGGTGGCGATCTGGCCAAAGTGCAACGGGCCCTCTGCATGCTCAGCAACTCCACAAGCATTGCCGAGGCTTGGGCTCGCCTGGATCACAAGTTTGATCTGATGTACGCCAAGCGTTGCTTCGTACACTGGTATGTCGGTGAGGGCATGGAAGAGGGAGAATTCTCGGAGGCCCGTGAGGACATGGCCGCCCTGGAGAAGGACTATGAAGAAGTTGGTGCCGACACCGTAGCAGGCGAGGGAGAGGGTGAGGAGGAGTAGAAAGAGACTGGAGTCTGCCGAATAATCTACCAAAAATGACTGACTCAACAAATAATTGATGCTGCACTCCGTTGAGACTACCGCGGCCTCAATATTTGAGACGCTTCTTTTAGTGGGGAAAATATATTGTTCCCATTGGAGAAAAAAAACTGTAAAATACTTCGAACAACGTGGTTTTCTTTTTCGGTCTTGGTTCGGTTCGTATGCTCGAAGGACTAAATTGAATTGGCCAGGGGATGCTTATTCCAAGAAAAGTTGTCTCTACAAATAGACCATGAAGTAGGTCAAATCATTTCGAGGTAAGATGATAGTTGGTAACCGTGCCCACAGACTCCACAATGGTACCTCCTGGCTCGATTGCAGTAGCTGTGATTGCGTTCTCATTATGCTTCTGAATTCACGCGCACGCTGTATTACCTGTATCAGATTCATTTTAGAGGAGCTATCCTGGGCAGATTTGTGCCGGTAACGACGACAATGAGGCTTACCCTATATCAACTTTCATTAGAAGAGGTAGTTGGCAGGCGTGCCCACAGAATCCACAATTGTACCTACTGGCTTGATTTCAGTAGCTATGATTGCGTTCCCATTATGCTTCTAAAGTTACGCGCGCGCCGTATTACCTGTACCAGATTCATTGTGGAGGTACTATCCTGGGCGGATTGGCACCGGTAACGATGACAATGAGGCTTTCCCTACATCAACTTTCATAAGAAGAGGTAGCTTTTGACTGCCTCATTCACTGTAGAGGTACTATCTTGGGCGGATTGGCACTGGTAATGATGACAATGAGGCTTACCTTTTATCAACTTTAGTTAGCAGAGGTAGCTTTCGACTGCCTCATTATTTGCGGATTTTCTCTTCCACCCAAACCAATTTTTCGTATAAAAGTCTTGCCCGGCTTGCGTTGTGGCGTCCCACGTGCCGTTGCTTGACTCTCGTGTTCTTCTGTCCATTATGTTGGATGGAGATCTATCGCACACACTGCGGGATGACCTTCGGACCAGTTGCCTTCTTCCCATTGGTTGTTCGCCTATACTTGCTTTTCTTTCCAATCTGAGGCTAGGATGCATTTATTCCGCACACCGTTCAAAGTCTCCTTGCTCATTTCCATACCTTCCTTGTATTTTTCACCTAATCTGAATTAGGCCTCCACTTTACCTGAAGCGTCAATTTCTAGCATAAACTACAATCGCCATTTACCCGTCCACTCAATTGTCCCACCCGTATAGCCCATATTACCACCGGTCCCGATTGACAGGCAGCTGGGAGTTTGCGGTGTCAGGATGGCTACCAAGTATCATCTAACCCATTTCGAGTATAGCATTGTGCAATAACTTACCGTACTAACAACACAGAAAATAAACGAAGTCAATTCTGCGACTAGATAACAAGGTCAAACTCGACCGCAACCGCTAATCAAGAAACTGGTCCGGCCAAGCGTAGTGAGGTTCAGCTGTAGCTCAGAAGTCCGACGTATCTTTTGATTGGCTCAAGATCTGGTTTTTATGTTTCGATTGTTCCTTACATTGTCGCCTCTAGTTAGTCTAGTTATCTGCGTGACAGAAAGGCGGAGCATGTGCTTTCGTTTCAGAAGATTTTTAGTCATAACAGGTAGAGATTACCAGTCGACAAGTGGGTCAAGCCCTAAATCCAGCTTAAAAAGCCTTACGCACCCAGGCTGAATAGCGCTCAGCTCACTGTGTAGAATCTACCATCCTGATTTCCTGTCAAAAACGTTTATTGAAGACAAACACTCCGATGTCGACCATCCAAGCAGTGACTGGAGCAGTTCTAGAAACTATAACCTTCACTCTGTGGGATGTGACTGTTGCGATTCGGAGTTTTCGTCAATCTTCTAGTCCAGGACCTGATGGTGTCCCAGTAAGCATTTTAAAAGCCGATGCAAATACGATTTCCCCATCCCTCTTATGCAAG